TCCCCTCCCTCTCTGTGTCCCCTCCCTCTCTCTCTGTACCCTCCCTCTCTCTCTGTGTCCCCTCCCTCTCTCTGTACCCTCCCTCTCTCTCTGTGTCCCCTCGCTCTCTCTCTGTACCGTCCCTCTCTCTCTTTGTCCCCTCCCTCTCTGTGTCCCCTCCCTCTCTCTCTGTGTCCCCTCCCTCTCTCTGTCCCCTCCCTCTCTCTCTGTGTCCCCTCCCTCTCTGTGTCCCCTCCCTCTCTCTCTCTGTGTCCCCTCCCTCTCTCTCTGTGTCCCTCCCTCTCTGTGTGTCTCCTCCCTCTCTCTCTGTGTCCCCTCCCTCTCTCTGTCTCCTCCCCCTCTCTCTGTCCCCTCCCTCTCTCTCTGTCCCCTCCTTCCGTCTCTCTGTCCCCTCCTTCCCTCTCTCTGTCCCCTCTCTCTCTGTCCCCTCCCTCTCTGTGTCCCTCCCTCTCTCTCTGTGTCCCCTCCCTCTCTCTGTGTCCCCTCCCTCTCTGTCCCCTCCTTCTCTGTGTCCCCTCCCTCTCTGTGTCCCCTCCCTCTCTCTGTCCCCTCCCTCTCTGTCCCCTTCCTCTCTGTGTCCCCTCCCTCTCTCTCTGTCCCCTCTCTCTCTCTCTCTGTCCCCTCCCTCTCTCTGTCCCCTCCCTCTCTGTGTGTGTCCCCTCCCTCTCTCTCTGTGTCCCTTCCCTCCCTGCCCCCAACACGCACACCCTTCTCGGAGGTGAGGTCAGGCTGGAAAGACAGAAAATTACCTGCATGGCTGGAAGGATTGGGGTGTCACCAGCACCATGCCACCGTTGGCTCTCACCGGCTGGTCACCTTGGCTTGCTTCCTAAACGCAGCGGCGATCTTACTTAGATTTGGGCGTGCTGCTTTCAAAAGATTCACTTTATTCTCACTGTAGGAGCGCGCAGCCACCGGTTGATCCGGGGCTGTTCTGGAACTTGTCCCATGGAGGTTTTTGTCACACATGTCTGTGCTAAAGCTGCCAGAGGCCCCTCACCTGCTCCATCTGGGGCTGGAAGACCTTTCGACTCAAGCTGAGCAAGCCACCGTCTTTATGGGCAAATAGTCACTCTACATTTATCTGAGCGGCGCTGTCACATACGTGACCTCATCTAAGCCTGCCTGGAGGGCGGGGACGGTCCTGACCCCACTTTATAGAGGAAGGAAACAGGCTCGGAGTTGTGAGCGATGGCTCACAACTGGATGTTATAATAGAATAAGATGTTGAATCTAGATGTTACAGATTCTAGATCTTAGAATAGAATCTAGATGTTAGAATAGAACAAGAATGTTGAGTATGGTCAGAAGACATTGGCTCAAGTCCTTCCCGTGAACTTGAAGCCATCGCTCACAACTCCGAGCCTGTTTCCTTCCTCTGTAAAGTGGGGTCAGGACCGTCCCCGCCCTCCAGGCAGGCTTGGATGAGGTCACGTATGTGACAGCGCCGCCCAGATAAATGCAAAGAGTGACTATTTGCCCATAAAGACGGTGGCTTGCTCAGCTTGAGTTGAAAGGTCTTCCAGCCCCAGATGGAGCAGGTGAGGGGCTTCTGGCAGCTTTAGCACAGACACGTGTGACAAAAACCTCCATGGGACAAGCTCCGGAACAGCCCCGGATCAACCGATGGCTGCGCGCTCCTACAGTGAGAATAAAGTGAATCTTTTGAAAGCAGCACGCCCGAAGCAGAGGTTTGCCAAACAAAACATGTACAAAGCAGCAGCAGGCTTGTGCAGAAGCATTAATGCCCTCGGCGTTGCTGGGAGAGGGGTGGGTCCAGACATTCGCCTTGGGTTTCTGGAAGACCACGCAGGAAATGAACAGATGTGCTGCTCTCGAATGCAAAGCAGCGAGTGGTTTCACTTGCTCTGTAAAGCCCGTTTCCTCCTCTGCAAAACAGAGATAATAACAGAATGCACCTCCCTGGATGTTTGTGAGAACCTGAGACATACTAACCCCTGGAAGGCATCATGCCTGCCTCAACTTGCCCAATCAACACAAGACGCTAGAAGATTCTGAAGGGCAGAAGGTTAACGTTTCAATAAAGACCAAGTCAGACATGTGCTCTTTTAAAATGAGATTTATTGTACATAAAATAAATTAATGACAGTTTAAGCCAAAGCAGGAGTGGCTTTGTAAAGTGCATCTGTGTGGGGGATTCGGCAGGCAGCCCCTGCGTCTCTCTGCTCCTTGGCGTGAGATGGTGACTTTGTATGTCTGCCACCCACCGGCTCGACTCCGCCAGGCCCAGGAAGCAACCCAACGTCATGGCCACGAGCCACTGACACAAATCACACCAATATCCGTGGACACACTTCTTGTTTCTGTACCGGATGCAACAGTTTTAAGAACAAACTATACAGTCGCACAATTAGTCAAAGCCTGGGCTCAAAGAGTTTGTGAGTTCAGATCACTCAACACACACCCAACGACTGAGCATTAATCTGCCCTGTCGGGAGGACGCGGCACCTTCCTGCCAACCATGCCAGCTCATCAGTGTCTGTCTAAAGAATACTGTGGCCCATAAACTTGACCTTTTTGGGGGGGGGGAAGGGGCATTTTCCTTCTTATTCTTAAAGCAAGAAATGTGGATCTCAACCTTTAGGTTAGAAAGGTGTTCTGGGCCGGGCACAGTGGCTCACGCCTATAATCCTAGCACTCTGGGAGGCCGAGGATTGCTCGAGGTCAGGAGTTCGAGACCAGCCTGAGCAAGAGTGAGACCCCGTCTCTACTATAAATAGAAAGAAATTAATTGGCCAACTAAAAATATATAGAGAAAAAATTAGCCGGGCATGGTGGCGCATGCCTGTAGTCCCAGCTACTCGGGAGGCTGAGGCAGGAGGATCGCTTGAGCCCAGGAGTTGGAGGTTGCTGTGAGCGAGGCTGACACCACGGCACTCACTCTAGCCTGGGCAACAGAGTGAGACTCTGTTTCAAAAAAAAAAAAAAGAAAAGAAAGGTGTTCTGTAAGAACAGTGTTCCAGAATGATTCAAACGTACTGAGAAATGCAATTCTTCCTCTTGGGGGAAAAAAAAAAAAAAAGAAAGAAAAGAAAGGAGAAAAAAGAAAATCTGTGAATGCTTAATCTGTTCTTTCATCCCCACTGTAAATCAATCACATTGATGTATTTGGTGACACTACAACCGACCATCATTCACAAGGTGGCTGGGAGCAAGAACCGAAGCGATCACACCCTTCCCCACTGCAAAGGAAAAGACGGGGGTGCAGTTCACATATCCAGAGAGTGGCTCCTTCAAGCCTCGTCAGCTCTGTCCCCTGCTTGGAGCAACGCTGCTGCTTCTGTGGCGGTTCCATAAGCCCTCCTGGCCTTTCTGCCCCAGACATTTCTGGAGCCGTGAATTGCTGCCGGCATTCAATGTCCCTGCGCGGGAAGAACCTCAGGCCGTCTTCCTGGAAAGACCAACCCCCCCTGGAGCGCCGCTGTCTCAGACGGAGGTGACAGTCCTCACTTTGGCAGAGAGCGCCTGCTTGAACCTCCTCTTCAGGTCCTGCATGTTGGGCGACTTGGGCCTGGGAATGAGGGAGCTCCTCCGCTTCTCCGGGGTGCCGCTGGGCTGCTGTTTGTGGCTCACTTCTTTGCACAGGACATGGAAGGCGCTGTAGACGTCGTTGTAGTTTTCACTGACGGACACCTCGTAGAACGAGCAGCCCAGCATGCTGGCCAGCTGCAGTCCGAGCTGAGGGTCAACCTGCTTGACGTGCAACAGGTCGGCCTTGTTGGCCACGACCACGACGGGCAGCCGGGTGCCCGGATGGAGCTGCTGCACGTGCTGGTGCAGCTGGCCGATGAGTTCATAGCTCTGGTGGTCCGTGATGGAGAAAACCATCACCACGGCGTCTGCCCAGCGAATGCACCTGTTCAGCTGTTCGCTGCAGCCCAAGCCGTTCTCGTGGACCTGAAACAGACAGGTAAAGAATGGCAAGGTGAACGGTGACAGCCAGTCCCCCAAAGAGCCCTGGCTCGGGTGGATTCGATTCCCAAAGAGCCGTTCACAGCAATGCTGGGTTGCAGGCCATGAACAGGTTATATCCCCACACGCTTCGGCTTTCTTGACAATATGTTGATCCAGCTGCAGAGAGTTGGAATAAATAACAGTGCAGCTTGCCACACTCAAGTGGAAAATTGACCTGCAGAGAACTCCACGCAGAGAGACTTTGTAGTTGCACAAAATGGGAAATTAACTGGCTAGACAGTAAGTCTGGGGAAGTAAAGATAGGAGCTGGAAGCATTTAAACCTGGATAACTGCCCAGTTCAGGAAGGGAGAAAAAAAAAAAACCCACTAGCATGGCTCTTTTGTCCAAAGAGCAACTTTCTACAATACAAAAGCGATTCCAAGTATTTGGAGACTATGCCTAGACGTTCGGTTTTTAATGCCAAAGACACATATGTAAAAGCCGACCTTCTTAACTATAGCAAGGAAACTGCCAGTTCCAAGTGTGTTTGGTTTGGTCTTTCTTGCTGTGTTGAATCCTTCTAAGGGAAGATTTCTGTCCCTTAGCCAAATCTCCCAAATTGAGCCAGGCTAAGATTGACCAAGGGCCAGATACAAGTAAAGTGTCAAACATTTAAAAGTCTAGACTTGACTCCCCAGATTTCTCTCCTCTTTCAGCACAAGAAACTTCGAGAACAAGAGAGCAATTCCACAGCCATGTGGGTTCCCCTTTTACCCAGCATCTCAAAGCATCTCACCTGGATACCTGGGGTGTCTTGAACCTGAATGGCTAGGGTTTCACCTTCTATCTGAACTTGTCTGGTATAGAGATTACCTATGAAGGCAAAGAAAAAAGGTTACATTTTTCCTTATTGTACTTTTAAACATTGTGGATTTTTTTTAAGTTAGAGAGAAAAAAAATGTAACCTACACCAATGCACAAAAAGAAGCTATAGCTTATTTCTATTTAATGGGCTTACTTCAGATATTTTTTTAAAAACCAACTGTAATCTTAACCCCATGTTAGTAGATTTATTAAAACTAGGGCAAAGTTTGCAAGTTTTGGATACTTATTTGTCTATTTTTAAACATAGTTTCTATTTTTAGAGCACTCCTCCCTTGATGCAAATTTTCTTAGACTGTATGAGGTTTCTGTTTTATTTTGGCACTTTAGCATTCTTGGACCATAACTTTATATTTTGGCCATTAAATATAATGGCTTTGTAGACAAATACTGTTAGTAAACACACTGCCAATATTATCAGTTGGAATGAAGATGTGACATAATGATCATCTACCCTACATCAAAGCAGAAGGCTACCACGTCTTATCCTATACAGCTCATTTCAAATAATCCCCTGTAGGTACTTCATATGGTCTACAGATTCGAGCAATTTGCTAACAGCACATAGCTAGAAACCTCTTAAGCCTCCCCAATGGCTACGCTTAATCGTAGGGATTGAAATACTTTTCCTCTCATTTATTCAGGAATTCTCCTCCTAAAATTGGACCATCTAGTTATTTTTCTTTGTTCAGAAAAGAGAACTTTGGGTTTACAACTGCTCCCCTTTGGCCTTTGCTTTGAAAGGTCACTTCTGAAAAGCAGCCAGCAGAGAAGCAGAGGGGTAGGGGGGGAGGAGCTGGTCATCTTTTTTTTCTTCTTTTTATGACTTTTGCAGGAGTGTTTCGAAGGGGAGAGGCTCTGGAGGACAAAGGGTGCTTCCAACTGGGGTCCCTCCAGTTAAAACATACCAAGGGGAACACTTTCAGGCACTTGATAAAATGATGAATGGGCTTGGAATGGAATGAGGCCAGATGGCAGTTGTGGGCTGGGTGGAGAGGGGGGTTGGGGGGAGAAGTGGCAAGATCCCGATGCTCAGACTGTCACTCTGAAGGAACCTGCCTGGCAGGCACTGAAAAAAAAAAAATGGGAGCGGCAGTACTCCTACAAGAGGACAGTGTGGCTCACCTGCATTTCTTTCATAGTCACCGATGAACCGTTTGGTGAGGAACCGGACCACCAGCGCTGCAGGGCGGAGGGAAGAAAGGGAAGGGGGTTAGTGAGCCCTGCAAGGGAGACAGCTTCCCACCCCGCCCCCAGCCTGGAAGCGACTCTGGCAGAGCAAGCCTTAGATGGCCACCAAGTGGAATTCCTACCCTGGCGCTCCCTGACCCTCTCCTCCCCGGCCCGGCGGAGGGGCTGCAAGGCACGGCGAGCCACGGCTCTGCCCGGCTGGAAGGGCCATCTGGCCACCCCTGCCCGGAGCCCGGCGGGGCCGCACCCGAGCCTTCCAGCGGGCAAAGTCCTCCCCAAACCAGAAGAGCCCCAGGAGGGCTGGGTGCACGCACGCCCCTTTCTGCAGCAGGCACCGCCGCAGGCCCCAAGCCCCAGCCGGAACCCCGCCGCGCGGCGCCGCCCGGCCACCCCGGGCCGAGTGTCCCCGGTGCAGGGCAGGGGCGCGGCGGCGGCGGCCACGTCCCCCGCGGAGGGCCGCGCGGCGCCGGGCGCTCACCGGTCTTGCCCACGCCGCTGGCGCCCACCACGGCGATCTTGACCAGGCGGCGGCCCGCGGCGCCCGGCCAGCACTCGGCGGCGGCGGCGCTGCCCGGGGCGGGGTACTCGGCGATGGTGCACATGTTCTGGATGAGGCGCATGGCCGCTCCGGCCCGGGCCGCGCGGCGAGGGAGTCCCGGCAACAAAAGACGCGCGCGGCTGCGAGCCCGGCAGCGCCGCTCCGCACGGCTCGGGTCCGGAGTGGGCTGCCGCCGGCCGCGCGCGCGCGGTTTTCTAGGGAGCCGGCCCCGCCCCCTCCGGCCTCGGCCAATCCCGGCGCCCTGTATGAGCCCGCCCCGCCCTCTCGGCAGGCTCGGCTCCGGACTGGGGCTGCCCCGGCGGCGCGCGCGCGGTTGCTCGGGAGCCGCCCGCCCCGCCGCCTCGGCCAATCCCGGGGCGCCTGCGCGAGGCCCCGCCCCCGGCAGCGCTGCTCCGCAGGGCTTGGGCTCCGGACTGGTGGTGCAACCGGGCGGCGCGCGCGCTGTTTTCTCCGGCCGCCCGCCCCTCCGCCCTCGGCCAATCCCGGGGCGCCCTGCGCGAGGCCCCGCCCCCGGCGCTGCTCCGAGCGCGCGGCGTCCCCCGGGGCGTCCGGAGCCAGTGCGGGGCCGGCGCAGGCGGGAGCGGGGGGCGGGCTGGGGCTCCTGCGGGGTGTGGCTGCGGGGCTGGGGTGTCTCGGTCCCGGGGAGGGGGCTCGGCCCCAGTCTCCGAGAGCCGTCCCGGGGCAAGTGCCGTCCCCGCGGGTCCCCCGGCCCACCGCCCCCTCCGCAGCCGCCTGCCTCCCCACCCCCACCCGGGCTCTGCCGCCCCGCGTGGCGCCTGGCTCCTTAATTTGGGGCGCGGTTGCATTGACTCGGGTGCATCCAGGGTGGCACCCCACGATCATAGATTTGACAATTGCAATTGTCCGCAAAGCCCCCAACGCCGCCCCGTTCAAATGGGGACGTTAGACTTTGGGGGAAGAGAACACCCGTCGTGCAGCAGACCCGCGTCCTCTGGCGCCTGTCTGCACGGCAGGCCCACGTGCACACACACGGGGTCGGGCGCATGCACGGCACACGCGGAGGCAAATCAAGAGGTAATTATAGAAGGAGCTTTCTAGAGCTTCACACACAGTCGCACCTCCTCCTCGATCTGTGAGATGGAGAGAAAACGGTTGCGCCAGCTGCGACCTCCGAAGGGGCCCACGCTTGGTCTCCGGTCGTCAGGAGTTAGTTAAGTGGCTCCTGCACTCACAAAATGCCGAGCTCCTGCCCCCTGCTTTTTCCCTAGGGAATGCATCCTCAGTGGCAGGTCGAATTCCTCCTGCAAGCAACATTCCGCAGCTGGAAATGGTGGCAGAGTGTGTCACCAGAGACTCAAGCTCACCACCCCCATGACCCACCCAGCCCCCTCTCCCCGTCCTCAACCCTGTGGGCCCCCAGATGTCCCAGGGGCTTTTAGGCTGGCGCTATGACAATGAAGTCTGGCTTTGTGTCCACACCCACGTTTAAGGTTAAAATGTAAAAGTAAAACAAACCGGTTCCCTTATCTAACCCGCAGGCTTGTTGTATTTGACTCCTCTTTGCACCCTGGACTTAATTGGCCGGGTGTTCGACGGAATTTATGATCTGGACCTAGGTCAGACTCTGAGATGAGCCCTCTTCTCTATAAAGGTTTAGGTGTTTGCAGGAATTCAAGGGGAAATAAAAAGGTGATCTCAGAACTGCTTTAGCAGCAAATCTTATAGGATGAGCAGCATAATTAGCAAGGCACACAATAAACATAGTAAAAGGTGGACTTCCCGGGAGATCACTAGAAAGAAGTAAGTTCAACCATTGGAGTCAAAAAGAAAAAGAGCATTTTCAATACGCATCTCTTTCTTCCTGGTTTCAATCAGACTGGAATGTTGGTTCTATAAAAATCAAACTTAGCAAGAGTATAATTACAGGTAACTATGTACTTTGTATAAACCCTCCCTCCACAAAAGCCTGCAATGCTATCATGCTCACATGGGAAAATAATTATATAAGCATCGGTCCCCAACTTTTTTGGTACCAGGGACTGTTTTCATGGAAGACAATTTTTCCACGGATGTGTGTGGGGGGGGGCATGATTTAAGCACATTACATTTATTGCGAACATCATTTCTATTATTATAACACGTTGTAATATATCATGAAATAATTACACAACCCACCATAGACTGGTCAAGTGTTTGTTTAACTCCTTTTTACACACAGACCCACACACGTGCAGACAGACGTGAACAAAATTTGTCAAGGGGAATTTTGCTCTGAATCATTTTAGCTGCTAGGGCCTGATTTCCATTACCATAAGCCTGTACCAAACCTATGATTTTTCTGTCTGCAACACAAAGGCTGAATTTGGTATTCTTATTTTAGGTCTAAGTACTCTGGCTATGCTTCGAAGAACACAGAGAGGAAAGAAACAAGGGAAAGATGGAGAAAAGAAATCAGAGCTATTCAAATTCCGAACATCTAGCATAAAGCCCATCTCCACCCCGCCTATCTGAGATGATGACATTGAAAGTTACCCCTTCTTGGAAATTCATGGAATTTAGAAAAGGAAGGAAGCAGGGCAGGAGAAGTGGTGATATGTAATGAGTGTTTGTTTTATTCCAGGCTATAGGCAAGGGATTTTGCATTTAACAATCTCATTTTACCTTCACAACAGTCCTGTGAGGTAGGTGACTTCCAGTTGCAGTTGCCTAGAGCTGCTTGGTCCAAGCTTGGTGGCCCCCAGTTCTGTGTGTTGACTAGCCTGGGACGCGTGGTTCTTACCGAGGGTCTCTCCTGTTGCAGTCAGATGGCAGCTGGGGCTGGAGCCATCCGAAGGCTCGACTGGGCTGGGTGGCTTCTTGGCTCACATGTCTGCATGTCAGCCGGAATGGCCGGAACAGCTGGGACTAGCTCAGGGGCCCTGGTGACAGACTTCCCTTTGAGTGAGCATTCGAAGGCAGGAAGTAGAAGCTGCCAGTCTCTTAAGGCCTGGGCATGAAAACTGATGGAGAATGTCACTTCTGCCCTGTCCTGTTGGGCAGGCTAGTCACCGAGCCCGCCCAGATTAAAGGGCAAGGCACGGGGACATCGATCCCTTAGATGGAAAAAGTGTCCAGGAATTTGTGGCCTTCTTTAATTCACCATGCATCCATTTTTACAGATGAGAAAACAAAGTTTCAGGTCAAAAAACTCCTCCAAGGTTACATAGCCTATAAGGGGCAGAGCCCAAATCTGAAAAGGATCAATATTTTAAATAGCCAGGAGGTTGCAACGAGATAATATCATATGATGCAATGGCACAACGTGATTTAATCTTCTCTCTCTCCATCTCTCTCTCTCTCTCTCTCTCTCCTCGAGGATGGGGAATTGAAATACAAGGGACTTGGGGAGGAAAGAAAAATATTTTGCCAAGTTTCGATTTTGCCGTAGCATCTGGAGTTTCTATCACTTCCTTTGATCTTTAGAGCCTTGGCCCAGACAATTCAGCCTCTGGAAGCCCAGAATATAAATCCAATAAATATTTATTGAAGTCTGGGCTGTGGGTATACGAGTCACCGTGCTGAGTCCCGGGTCCACACTGGCAAACCAGGGAGACACGATCACCGCGGTTACATTTAACGTGGGAGACAGAGCAGTGGGCACGCAATCTCACTGCAGAAAACGCGTTGAAAGGGAAGATCAGGAATTCCAGGACAGCAATATTGAGAGGCAGAGAGAGGGAGAGCTTCCCTTCTGGCTCTGCGTCCGGCCATGCCTGGAAATGCAGGCTTGCTCTCAGTCGTGGGAGTCCATGCGACAGTCCCTTTTTACATTCAGCTGGTTTGCAGCGGATCTCTGTCACTTGGGCTGTGCAAGCCCTCACGCATCCTCTGTACGCTGGGGGGGCGGTCGTGATCTCTGCACGTGCCACACTGAGACTGACCCCTGACATCAGCAACGCCCCTCATTCCAAACTCTGGAGCTCAGCATTTCTTCTCTGCCAGAAATCACAGACAGCAGCCCGTCACAGCGTTTTTATCTCGCCTTGGCAGACACCCCACCCATGCCAGCCCTCCATCTATGGAGACTGGCATGCCATCGCCAAGGATATCAGTGCATCCGGACGACGGAATATTCTTTCGTTGGAAAAAGACCTGGGATGCCCGACCCTGAGAAGAGATGGAGGACGCTTAAATGCATGTCACTGAGTGGAAAGAAGGCAATGGAAAAGGCCACGTGCGTGCTGTATGATTCCAACTCTACAACATTCTGGAAAAGGCAGGGAACCATGAAGACAGTAAAAGGATCAGCGGTTGCCATGGGTCAGAGGGGAGGCAGGGAGGACCAAGACAGAGCACAGAGGAATTTTGAGGGCAGTGAAAATACTCCGTATGACACTGTAGGGTGGATACATGTCACTAGACATTTGTCCAAACCCAAGGACTGTATAGCAATAAGAGTGAACCCTAATATAAACGGTGGACTTTGGGGGGCTGTGATGTGCCCATGTAGGTTCACCGACTATAAGTAATGTGCGAGTCGCAGGTGCAGGTGTGTTGGCAGTGGGAGAGGCTTCGGGGGATGGGAGTTTGGGGACAATGAGAAATCGTGGTACCTTTCACGCAATTTTGATGTGAACCTAAAATTGCTTTTAAGCCATGCGCCATGGCTCACGCCTGTGTGATCCTAGCACTCTGGGAGGCCGAGGTGTGAGGATCGAGGTCAGGAGTTTGAAACTAAAATTGCTTTTAAAAATAAAGTCTAGGCCGGGCGCGGTGGCTCACGCCTGTAATCCTAGCACTCTAGGAGGCCGAAGCGGGAGGATCGCTCAAGGTCAGGAGTTCCAAACTAGCCTGAGCAAGAGCGAGACCCTGTCTCTACTATAAATAGAAAGAAATTAATTGGCCAACTAAAAATATATAGAAAAAATTAGCCGGGCGTGGTGGCGCATGCCTGTAGTCCCAGCTACTCGGGAGGCTGAGGCAGGAGGATCGCTTGAGCCCAGGAGTTGGAGGTTGCTGTGAGCCATGGCACTCTAGCCCGGGCAACAGAGTAAGAGTCTGTCTCAAAAAAAGAAAAGGTAGGCCGGGCGCAGTGGCTCCCGCCTGTAATCCTAGCACTCTGGAGGCTGAGGCAGGTGGATTGCTCAAGGTCAGGAGTTTGAAATCAGCCTGAGCAAGAGTGAGACCCTGTCTCTACTAAAAATAGAAAGA